TTTTTGATTTTTTTTTTCCTTCTGGGATGTTGATTGCTGCTGCGTGAGCTGCTGAGAGTAATAACAGTGGAACAGATGTAGTAATAGTGAAACATCATTAACAAATCAAGATGCTCCCCCCCCCGCCATGTCTCCTGTGAGATATTATCTTCCTTCAGCTGCATTATGAGCAGCTCTGTAAACCCATTATCTCTCCTCTCTGTTTGCCCTCTCTGCTCTCTCCAGATGAGTGTGGGTCAGAGGGCCAAGCTGATCTGCTCACCGGACTACGCTTACGGAAATAAGGGCCACCCGGGCATTATCCCCCCCAACGCCACTCTCATCTTTGACGTGGAGCTGCTCAGTTTGGAGTGAAGGCGAGCTGCCGCCTGTTTGTTGCGTAAGTTGTTTACAGAAAATAACCATCCGATAATGACGCATGATGTCGTTCTGATCTCGGTGCAATCAGCCAAAGCATTTTAACATTTTTGTTAAATAGAATAAATAAAAACGGGAATTAATGGGGAAAAACCGTATACCGTGCGTTCATAAAACTAAAACATACTGAAATTATGCATATTACATCCTACGTTTTTGTGTTTATGAATCTATTTACTAGCGTTTTGATCTGATGTGAAACTGATGTTTTTCCCATCCCCTCACACAAACAGTTTATGTCTGCCGTCGGCAAATTATGGCACTCCTTACTCCTCCTGGTGGCAGCTACGCTGGTCTGCAAAATGTCAAGAAATGTCAGTCAGTTTGTTCCATAATAACTGAACATATTTTTTGAAAATGATATCTTCTGTTGCATATTCGTTACTCAATCGACGTATAAACAATCGCAATATGATACTTTGACCTTTTTGGATCCTCCACCTAAAACTTAACCAAAGCGCGAAAAAACTAATAAAACCTAAACAATGTTTAACTAATGATAACTAATGAAACCTAGCAAGCACACTCTAAAAACTAATTAAAACTAACTGACTGAGACAAGCAAAAATTCACAGCAAATTTTGTGAATTTGTTGTGAATTATATAAACGTAAATATAATGAAAAACCCAAAACTGTCATAACCCTGGTGCGAACTCTGATCCTGTTAGCGGGCAAACCTCTACGGATCAGATATAGAAGTATTGGGAAAATGGATGTAGACTCTACAGAGGCTGTGTGTGTACACTCTTGGATTGTATATCTGATGGTGTTTTAATTATGTTTTTTATGTGTTTTTTTTTCTCTTATAAAATTTTTACTTGCTGGGTCGGGGACCATAGATTATTAAATGAAATTAGCACCTATGTTATACCCCGGACCAGTGCATCTATCCATCTACAATAAATAGTAAGACTGCAAAACAGGGCAACATTGTCACCGAGGCTGATGGATCTTAATTCTATTTTATGGTATGATTAGGTTCAGGACTTTGACATGTAAATTTCTATTAATTAGCTACATACATAGATTTAAAAAAATTAAACTCAGTTAATTGCTTTTTTTTATACATACAAAAGTTCCGCCCAGAACCTTTATATTCACTGTTTCTAGTACGCCAATAAATCTGATGCACAAGCGACATCTGCTAACGATGGACGATGAGGCTACTGCTCTTGGCCCATTGCTGGTTAAGTTTTGCTCAATAATGATCTGATGGAATGATGCAAAAATATGACTGTGTTCGAGTTGTGCTAAAAGGAGTTAGCCTGTCAGTAAAGCTATTCAAATAGCACTTCAATGCTAAACATGCTGCAATAGCACAGACGTCCCCTACTCAAATGCCCTCTGTTGAATTAGTTCAGCTACTCGAAATGGGGTGAATATTTATGCAATCATTTATTTTGTTGCATATTTTTATTTAATTCTCTTTATTTTGTATAAATCGATTTTCAAGTTTTTATTTTTTTTGTAAAAATAATTCTCCTTTTTGTCATCCTCACAGTTAACTTCGCACCTAGGCGACCTGAAGAGAAGCTTGGAAAGTCAGTGCATGATTCTTTCAATTCAGCGTTTTCATCAAACCGTCTGTTTTTGTTATTTTTTGTTTTTCACTCGTCCTCCATTTTGAAACATCTTTTTTCAATCCTACATTTTCTAAAAGTCTTAAATTGTTACAATTTTTTTTTTGTTTAAAGAAAGTGTTTTTTTAATTTTGTATTTCTTGACATTCTGTTTGTGTGCAAACACAATGAATTGGGTGTATGAAATGCCATTGAATCACTAAGCAGCAAGGTTCAGCTTTTATGAGTCAGTTTGTTCTGGTATTATAAAATTCTGCAGCTTATTCTATTGTATTAGACAGAAAAGTGAGCACACATTTATGATTTTAAAGGGTGGAATCATATTAGCCTGAGTTCTAATAAAAGGTCACACTTAAAACTGAGATTTCTGCAGAAACAAAAACCCTACATTATTATTTCTGTTAAAGAAGAATGAGAAGACTAATTGGTGGGAAGGATAAACCAGGCTTAGGTCCAGATACTTCTTGTGTGACTAAATATGGTTACTACCTTGCCCTGTGTGCATGCCAAAAATCTGATGGCATTCACTTTGCATCCTTCCTATCTCTTTAAGACTCATTTAAAGCCATACCTAAACAGTGCACAAGGAGGACTGTGTCGACGCACAGGAATAATCGGAACTGAAATTAGTCTGAGATGCTTGAAACTTCTAAAAGGTGGGCAGGGATTTGAACTCTTGACACTTTGTGTAATAACTTGAATTATGCATTTCCTTTGATGCCAAGAGTCTCTCTGAGAAAATAACAAAGCTTAAAGCAGAAACTCTCCTTTTTAGAATTACTGTTAGTAGTGCGCCACGCCGTCCCGGCGGATGTTGGAGTGGAGGTGTACCGTGAAGACAAAAAAACACAAAAAGGCCAACATCATACAAGTGTTTTTTCTACCTGAACTAGTTTTAAATTGAGTGTAAATGAATGACTTGTGCTGGCCTGGCTCTCTGACACCGACCACGGCTGTCCGTGTTATGTGCTTGCCGTGCTGCAAGCGGCAGACCGTCTGTACTGTGCAGTTTTACGTGCTGAGATGTTACTGTGTGCAGGCTAAACCAATGATGTATCTCAAATAAAATAAAATACCATCCAACTGCCTCCAGTGTTCATTTCACTGTTACTTGATTTCTCATTTTTCCACAAAGAAAGAAAATGAAAACGGCTGATGATTAAACATAAACCAGCGTAACAGAAGTGTTCACGCTTGTTTTATACTTGCTATCCAATTATCTTTTTAAACATACATAACACTTTAAAATATACCCATACTGAATTAAATGAGATGAACTGAATAATAAAATAAGCAAGTAAACTTTTTACTGGATTAAGAATTGAAGACAAAGCGGAAATTGGCCCCCATGCACTATAAAATTGTATAGTTGTAGAAAACTTGTTGCACAATTTCATTTGGACAACTATATAATTTTTTTTTTTTTTTTACTTTTTTTATGCATAGCTTCCAGACAGAAAAACAAGGTTGTTTTTCTGTCTGGAAGCAGCTGATTATAATCTCAAAAATTTAAATAATACCTGATCTATGATGCCAAATCCAAATGAGAAGAGAGAGAAGAAAGTTTAAACTATTTCTTCAATCAATCATAATGAGCAACACCAGCATCTCTCAGCCCTTAATCTAATCATACAGACAGAGATTTAAAGAGGAGCAGCAAAAGCAAATGAGGTGGATTAGCAGCACCTGCTAACTGATGGTGTCAAACAGGAAGTGTGGTCTCTGCTGGCCAGATGCTGAGCTGTTGGCATGTCATAACAGTCACAAGATTATTATACAGCAACAGTCTTCAGTCAGACACTAAACTAAAGTGATTGCTACCAGAGATGCTTCCTGTCTACATCTTCACCATCCACAATTACCCTTTTGACAATTATGTGAATTATATGAGTTATGACAACATTTAATTTGCTTTTGGGACAAATAAAGTGTTATTGAGCTGAATTAGAAAGACATTAGATTTTTTGTTAGCTCTTATATGAATTCATAATGTAGTACTGAAGACGAGTTATTATAAGCAAGGAAGAAACCTGGATCATTTAATGAGTAACTTTTCAATTTTATAATCCCAACCAGATTAAAAATATGTTGATTTGGTTTGCATTTTATTTAATTTTTCACCTTTATTTATGCATAGCATGTACAATAAATTATTGCAACAGCAAGGTAGGCATGAGAATACAAAAATACAAGTAGTATATATTAAAAATCATAAAATATCTTTGAGGTTATAATTGAAATTTCTTTACAAAGTGTTTTGGTCTCCAGCATATAGGACCTCCAAATATTTTACTTATTCATTCATTTTAATAATTGCATGTTTTTGAAAATAATGTTTTTACATAAAAACTCGTAGGCCTATAAAGGTGAATCGCAATAATACTGGTCTTGGTTACAGTAATCTAAAGTGAACAGGAAAACATACTTGCATAAAATACTGTATGTATTGTGTCTTTCCAAAATAACGTGAAAAGGACAGTTTAAGGACAGTTCCAGAAAAAATAGGTGATTACTTTAAAACTGGGTCTACACTGGGTCAATGCAGAATATTTAGGCATACTGTAGGAATCTTATTATTTTTTATTAAATATTTACTACGTAGCAAACATTTTTCCAACCAATATCACAATTTCCAAGAAATTATCCCATAAAAATGCAGAAGTGTGCTTGCTCATTTTATCAATTTTCCAGTACAAATCTTATTGGTTAGCTGATCTGCCTTTTTTTTTCCTTCCAAATCTTTATTGAAAGAAATGTGATGCATACATGACAGTAATTAATATGAACAGAATCTAGACTGATTATTCCCGTAAATACATTTAAAAAGATACAAAAATTAAATGTTTTCCCACAGTTTCCTTGTCATAGGAGTCAAAGCTATTTATAATGTACTGTCCGAATTCTTTATGTCGACAAAAAGCGGGAAAAAAAACCTAAGGGTGAGTCATGACTCATGTGACCGATACGGGGCGTGGCTTTCGGCGTCAACACTGATTGACGTGGATCGGAGCAGGAAGCCAGCAGTGACATCACTTTCCAGAAGTCCCCTTCAGGTTTCAGGCAGCGACGAAGAAGCAGCAAAATAAAGCGAGAGCGCTACTCTCTGGGAGTCCTGTTGGTTCGAGTTGATATCCACGCAAACACTGAACAGGTGAGGCTGTTGTTTCTATTAGCGTTGAAGTGAACCCTTTCTGAGCGGTGAAGGGTTTCGTTTCCCCCACCAAGCTAGCACCGTCTCGGCTAGCTCCCCTCCACCGCCTCCGCTGTTTATGTCGGAACAAAGACGGTCTGCGTCGCGGCTCCACGACTTCTGTCTGCCGTCAGATTTTCACAGACGGTGCTTTTACTTGTATCGGGGCTTTTTTTCCTACCTGGTCTTGAAGTGGTTAACAAGTCTTTTAAAACCAGTCAGGCTTGTTAATTTTTAATGATTATGCAGTACGGCTAGCTTACGTTGATTGGCGAGGTTTTGTGTCTCAAATACAAGCTTAGTTCCCTAATAAAGTTGTTTAGGTTGGAAAACAACCTAAGCTAATATTGTTAAGATTATTAGTTTTTATATCTAGACGAGATCACCTTACACCGCATGTATCATTTCTAACCCTTTTTATTTATTTATTTATTTACATCAACTATAAGAATAAGTACAACAACTGTCTTTTTATGTCCGTGGTTTTTTTTTTTTTTTTTTTTGCCTGTACTTGATGTAATGGAAGACATATTTAGCAGTTACAGCGTTCAGGGTGTGGGTCAGTTCATATTTTTCCATCAGTCCTCCGACCTCCCTCTCTCCCTTCCTCTTTTTGCTTTCCCAGCCATGTCAGTAGACCGGAATAAGCTGCCAAAAACACCACATTCTTGGATCCAGGCCTCCTGAAGTTAGCGGTCCAGCTTTCGCCTGCTTTTAATGGCGGTTGTCACATACTACTGTTGAATAGAAGCAGAGGAAAGTGACTGAGTTTGCTTATTTGTCTGAGTATTTCTGTTTGAGTTACTGTTTGCATTCATTTCTCTGACCTCGTTACATATTACTTGGACTACGAGGAAGATCAAATATACTAAAGATGAGAATACATAACTATCTGGCTTGTGAAGTGTAGATTTCCACAACAGGATAAAAAATAAAACATATTGGAAAAGAACAAACAAAAGGTGACCAGGCTAACTTTGCTATGTGTACATTTAGGCTGATGACATCACAAGAAACATGTAATAATAATAAAAAAATCAGCTGTCTTTAGTAAACACAACAGCTGAGTGTTGAGAAAGAACTTACTGATATTTAATCTGCCAAGTTTTCATACTTACTCGTTACTCATGAAATGAGTAAATTCAGTACTCTTTCTGTTTTACAAATCAGTCTGAAATTCTGCTAGCTTTCCTGAACAACTTCTGCCTTTTCAACAATGGGATTTTTTTTCTTACTTCTGCCCTCTCGTGGAGTCTTCATGGCGATGGTGTGGAGGGTTGGTATGGCTATAGGTGGTTTGTTGGGAAATTAAATGTCGCCGTAACTCCTGCCATTCTCATATCTTCAGAGTTGTTGTGGACTGTGATCCTGGTAGCAGTTAGTCTCGCAACAATCTGAAGAAACTTCTGACTGTTGCTTTTTGACAGTGTCATGACCGTCATACATGACATACTGAAGGCTCAACTTCCAGGCAGCAGAAACAATACAGTAAAATGTCCTGTTAGACACCATCAGTTGTTAGCAGCTCTGCTAACTCTCCTCCTTTGCTTTTGCTTCTCCCTCTCTCCATGCGCTTTGGTCCTTTTCAACTCTTCTGGGTTTTGGTAGTTGTAATTCAGGTATTATTTGGACTTTTGAGATGCTAATTAGCTTCTTCCAGTTATAGAAAACATACCTTGTCAGGGTTGTACGTCAGTTGTCCTGAAGTTGAAAAAAGTAAGAGCAAAAAAAATCCTTCCAGCTTCACAGGATCCAACGCCAGGGAATAATTGTTGAAAACAAAAAATAGCAGAAGTATTGATTAAATATATTTGAAATGGGAACTTAATTGCAAACAAACAGAAGAATATTTAATAGAAATACTGATTTGCAGAAGAATAGCTAAATAAGAACAATACCCAACCATTAAATGTAGATTTGGTGATGAGTTATATTTGAAGTGAGTTTGTCTTCTAGAAAAGGAAAGTTTTGCTTGTGACTTTAAAATAATTGGCAGTTGTGACTTAATGTTATACTTTTTCATCTTACAAATCATGCAGTAAATTATATTGATGACTATCTTCCACTGCCGTTGCTAGAGGACCAGGTTATGTCATCAGGAGTTGTTCAAACTCCCATTTTCTCTTCAGTCCCATTCACGTCGAGTCTGCAGGTCGGTCCGAGAGAAGAACACAAAGCAAATAAACGCATCGCTGAAAAGTAAACGGCAGAAGATATTTAAAATGGCCTTCTTTGTGCACCAACACAATGATGCGCTTGTGTGTGTGAGGAGTGTGAAGAAGAGAATAGAGTAGTGGCCGGAGTAAAGCTGGAGGACTGAGGTGTCTCAGTGATGCGATCGTGGCTGGCTTATTTACTTGTTTTGGGGGCTCTTTGCAGATTTGACATGTCTGTGTCAGAGCAGGTCTCCGTGCACATAGACTGTGGTTATGTAAACATGAGTCAGCAATGTGGGATTATTGAACATTTGGTATTTGGGAAGGTGCATTTATGTGGGAAGGGTCTGTTTAAACTCAGTGTGGTGTTTTAGCTTTCTCTGGTAATTCAGAGGAAAGCAAAGCCGTTTCATGGTCGACTGTTATCAGTATTAGTAGTTTTGATATCGTTCAGTCACACCTATTGGTGTTTTTCTATTTTGCAGTGAGGAAGTGTTCCAAGTGTCTTGTGACCAACACACATTGTTGTGTAATGGACTGAACTCCTAGATCTGCAACTACTGACACTTTGACTTACATCCTGAAGAATGTTTTTAGCATATTTAATAACAAGGACTTCTCCTTTTAATCGTTATCGGAAATGTCCCGATACAACTTTTTCCACTTCCGATATGATTCAAATGTCGTAGTTTTAATTATTGGCTGATACCAATATTGACCCACTTATACTTTTATTACTCATTTTGTAGTGTGGAATGATAGAAAAGGCTTGATAAAGTAATATTACTCAGAGAACAGCAGTCCACAACAATAGGTATGAAACCAACTGACCTATTTATTATTAATCAGTGGGTGTGTGTGAGGGATACAAGTACTTCCTGAATAGACTTGTCACAATAAATCAATCGGATAATAAATTAAAACAAGCTCAATAATTTCCATTTACATGATTTAGAGTTTTTTTTTTTCTCTTTTTTTACCAAAAATTGGATGATGAAAGTTTTCAGTCTGATGCTTTGGCCTCAACTAGCCCCTCTTTGTTTACAGAGACTTCATAATTAATTTTGTTAATTTAATTTGGATATTTAAAATGTCTTGTGGTGTTTAATGTTCATTAGAATTTTAAAGTTTATTGATGTTGGAGATTGTGTTCCTGCGTTATTATGCCATTACCATTACGTTACTTGAAAAGGGTCTCAAAACAACAATATTATAGTTTATCTATTGCCCGGCAAAATTTATCATCATGACAGGCATACGAGATAGAAATTCTGGAGTGGACTAAATGCTGGATTGGATTGCTTGTATCAAAGATTTTAGACATCTATGCCAATGTAATACGATACCAATTCGGACCAAGTTCCAAAATCAATATCGAATTTGGACACTGGGTAGAAAGACTTGTAAAGTTGTCCTTAATATTATTACTATTGGATGAAATATTGTGCTTTTTATTTCGTCCTCATATATTTTTATGAAAGAGGTAGCAGCCAGCTACGTTTTATTTCTGTTGCACCAGAAAAAACAGATTTGAATAATTGGCTCAATATATGGATCGTGTTACACAGAATAGTCTCCTGTTTAGCAGTTTGCAAATTTCCTAGCTGATGATCTACAGAGAGGTTTGGCTGATGAGAAAACAGTTGAGAGCAGGTATTAGATTTGGGTTATGATCTTTATGGATCATAGTCTAACAATAACAGCCAGGACGTTCTACCCCTTCTTGTTTCTCCATATTTTGCCCCTCTGCCCCATTCTGTTTCCATCTTTGTGCAGCCTCTGACAACCTTTGCATTTCGCATTTTAGAGAAAGACGAGGAAACAAATAAAAGGCTCATTTTCTAATTAGGTAGTTTTGTACCCGACTAAGTCAAGTGTGATGCACTGTGAACTGATACTAACCGTGTATCAGTTCGCACCTTCTTTAAGGATGTTTTTAAAAAAAACTTCTGTATTCTTCTGTAAGGCAGTGTGTTTGTGTGTCTCAGATAAATTATATCTAACAGCAGATTTGATAAAGAGTCATAATTTGAGATCAGATCCTCAGTTGATGGTAACAGTGTATTCTTCGGCCAAAGACTTGGCCATTACCGATCTCCCAAAATGAAGGAAATCTGCACCGATAAATCGGTGCACCCTAGTGATTTGTATCACTGAACTATACACAGTAACTACAAAAAGTGGGTATGCACTATGAGGGGCCAATGTGTGCACCAAATTATGGCGGAAAAATGACTTCTCGTCAACATTTTCTGTATTTAATTTGATATCTTCATTGAACAAATGGGAGAAAATAGTAAAACTAAGAATCCCGAAGATTCGGACAGTCCCAGTGGGCTAAATAAGAGAAACCTTGACCTGTGGATGATTGGATGGAACTTAATGTCAGTGATAAATCACCTTCCTCTGTTGGACAAGGTGGTGTTTCTGTAATCTTTTGTTTGGTGCAGGTCAAATAAAACCCAACATAAATGTTTGCCTTTGGAAAACCTCCTTCCAGAACATTGATAAGAAGCGGACGGTCAGATAAAAGAGCGACAGCTACCGCTGCAGTAAATCCACAGGTGGACTTTGACCTTTCCAGTTCTTTTCATTTGCTGAAGCAGAAGTAGGTTTGTGGGTAATGAAGTCATTTGAGAGGATTCGTGGCGCTTCTGTTCGGTATCTGTTATCTTCATGAGAGCCTCGCCCTGCTGGGCTGAGCTGTTGCTCAACCTCAGTCAGCTGATTTCCTTTCATTTCCGCATACTGCTTCAGGCTGCTGTCATGCTTATATCCAAGCTAATGGCGCTGGAGCTAAACTGTGCTTTCAGGAGACCTTAAGGGAATTTATAATGTATTATAATGGAGAACCACAACCCTCTTTTTGTGTCCACTTTTTTTTTCCTGCTTCCTTCATGCTATTTCAATTAAGGCTGCAGTTAGTTTATTTAGGATAAAATGTCTATTTGTTGTTTGTTAAAGTGGCAAAGTCTTCTTTAGAACTGCCTGTGTTTGGCTTTAACAGCTGAAGTCTTAATATTTTATTAACCTAATCTATTCAAGTAATGCATTTCAGCTTCACAGAGTAGTTTGATCCAGTTGTTTCAGTAATGTAGCTTAAGTTCTATGCTAACGGATAGCATGGAGTTAAGGTAAAACCTTACTTCTCACAGCCATTTTATGTTGTTTTTTTCTCAGAATGTCTCTGTATCCATCCCTGGAAGACCTCAAGGTCGACAAGGTCATCAAGGTAAGAGAAATGTGCTGCTATGTCTCCGTTTGTAGCATGTCGATTCACCGAAATGCTAAGATATTATTTGTTGGTTATAGTAACCAATTCTACGTGAGCGTATGTGAAGGAGACCAGCCCGTTTGAAAGAAGCTAACTAGATCCCAGCTCTTTAAACTGAAGAATGTTGCAGAGATGAGATTCTTGGAGAAATCAGGTTTTAGCCAGTTCCAATGTCTCTGCAAGAGCTGGGATCTGAGAAGATAAAAGAACAACATTTACGTTTTTCTGAGTGGTCATCATTTGTTTACATCCATTAATTGTTTAATGTTGTTTGCAACATTAATACAACAGTAAATAATAACAAGAACTTAGCAAAAAAAAATTATTAGTCCCTTTGAATGTTCTTCACTTGGTATCAACCACCACACCAAAGTGTGTTGTGCGCACTTACTAGCGTTTCATATGGTTAGTCTACTCATCAGAAAATGATAATGTTTGTGAGTTTCTTAAAAAAAAAACAATAACTGGTAAAGGCTGATTAAGCTAAAATTGTCGCACTCAAGTCAACAGAGATTTTTTGAGTGCCTCTCTAGTCTTAACTCAGCCCTCATTTGTTTGGCTTCCATGTTACTTTATGTAACACTTATCCAGAATTATGTTTGGCGTAGTTGAAACCAAACGAGTGCATGATAATTTCTGCCCTTTGCAGTTTGTTGTCCTGTACCTTGTCTTTCCCCAGACCTTCACCATGTCTCTGTTTTGTCCTTTTCTGTTGTTCTGGATGGAATCTACTTCACTAAGCTTTCATTTGACTGCTGTGTCTGATTGCTTTCTAGGCTCAGGCCCAGTTTGCACAGAGCACCGCCCCCATGCCGGCCATCACTGAGGGAACCTACCAGCCTCAGCCTGTTACTGCTGGGATGCCAGGATCCAGTGAGTCCCACGCCATGTTGCCAGAGCTAAAGCATTTAAAACAGAACCACCCTGAGTTATCTAAAGTTTCCTATAATGTTTTTATTTCTTGCTCTTCTTTTCTGTGCTTGTGTCTGTGTCCTTATTTTGTGTGAAATTCTGTCAGTGGGCCACATGATTGATCCAGAATCATCGGAAATTGACTGAAGATAGGCAGAGATTAGAAACAGTGGAATTTTTGCTAATCTTCTCCCTTGTTCCTGCATCTCATCCCACCCCTTCAGAGACTCCTCTCTGTCTATTCGGATGCAAAGTCCTGTGGGTTTTTCCTCTTTTGTTTTCACCTCAGCAGAGCTCGCTGTGAGTCACCATGGCGACAGGCTCTGGCAGTTGTGCCGGGATAGGGCGAAGGGAGGTGAAGGAGAGATTCACGGGTATTTAGCGAGCTCGAGAGGAAAAATGGAGTCTAGTTAAAGGAAAAGGAGATGAAATAGGGTCAAATTACTGACAAAAATATTATTGTAAAATGCAAACGCTGATTTTAGATTATTTTAATATAAAATTAATAGGTTTAAAGATTTGTCCCATTAAACCTGAACATATCAGCGGCTCTGCTGTTGTCCAAGGAAGATTTTCATCATGCTTTAATGCCTCTATCCTTAGTGTATTGGACATATATTATATTTACTTCTGCAAAATTCATTTCCACACTGCCAAGGCAGCCTTACTAAGTATTTCTGGCCTCGTTTCTTGTGCAAATATCTTATTGCGCTTGAAATAAGACAAAACTAACTTACAAGTAACTTTTCAGCAAGATATAGGAGCTTGTTTTAAGTCATTTATTCCTTAATATTAATGAAGTACTGGTTCCACTGGCAGATAGCAGGTGAAAAATGTCTTGTTACAAGTGCAGTAATCTGCCAGTCAAATTAGTACTTTTGAAAACCTTCCATGTGTTCTATAGCAGCTGATTAGAGAGTAATCAGATTCTCTATCCACCGTGTTTGTTTGACATTTTTAGCACAGACAAAGGTCTGGAACCACATGGGTTTACTCAAGACACAGACAGACTTACTGCTATAGTCTTTCAGTACATGCAACAGTCTGGAGGAAAACTATTGTAATTTTTAAGAATTTGAAGAAGATAAAAAGATGAAATCCTCAAAATTTTGTGTTGCCTGAAAACATAGGCAATGACAGATTTTTTTAATTTTATTCTTTTATAGTCGTCGCCGTCAACGATGAGGCCAAATTGGCAACAATCTTTCAATCTTTTTATTTCCAAACTGGAAACACATCAATCAACATTATTGCTGGTCATTGTTATTCATTATTTGACTGAATGTCTCTTTTTAGTACCATTAGTAATTGTGCTGTAACGCCTCAGCTACTTCCTGTTATTAAATCTCCATCCTGCTGGTCAGGGTGACTCTGCTCCTGTTTCCTTGATTATAATTAGCAGGCCATCATGACTAGCATCACCTCATTGTTTTGTTTCTGTTTATATATTTGTTTAAAGACCAAAGAAGACGAGTAACTGTAACACATACAGTTATGTGTTCATGTTTTCACAAACAGGAAAAACCTGCTAATTCCAGTAATCTGTAACTGAACACTGCTGTTGTAAAACATGGCTGCCATCATCTGACATTCTATCAGGTGTTTTTACACCTGTGAATGAAGGGCTGATTGTGTCTGTGTTCAAAGTTGAACAAAGACCTCACTGAATTTCTGGAAGCTATTATCCAGTAGAGTGCGGATCATCTTTTCTGTCTTCTCACACTCATTTTTTTTCATCTTGCATCTCCTTCTCTGTTTTTTCAGGCTTGTACCCTAATCTGGAGGAGCTGGGAGATTATATGGGTCTGGCCCTCAACAGCGATGAAGTCCAGAGGAACCTGGCTCTTGTTCCTGTGGCTGACAATGTAAGCAGTTCAGTGTTTGTTTGCTTCATCATTATCATCAGACTTGTTAGCTTGTTTTAAAGAGGAAGTGTTATGTAAAATGGACTTTTAAAAACATACCTGAAATGCTGCCTTGATTCTTTCATGCATGTTTGCAAAAATCCTTTAATCGCCATGGCAACCATTCAGCTGTGCAAAATGCTCAGAAAGAGCTGGAGTTTCTTAAAGAAACAGATGCCTAATTTCAAGGAATTAAATTACGAAGTCACATTTCTTTTAAGTCATATTTGTCATAACTTTTCTATAACTGATGGCAACGTAGCTACTCGATTGAGCTGTAAAAGAACTTTCTGTGCCTGGAAAACGCTTAATGCTGCCCCTTTAAAAGAGAACCAGAAGAGGTCAGGCTGGATTGGAGATACAGAAAGCTGCTGCTCTGGCTTCAATGCAGCAGGAGCAGGAGATCCAGTCTGCAGAGTGACTCACTGCAGACCTGAAGCTGAGTGGGAGACTGTGATCCCTTCACGCTCCTCCAGCAGCCTGATCCCACCCCCAGACTGTCAGCTTTTATGCTGTTTGATTCAAACTCTTATCTTGATGCTTCACTTTTTTCATCTTCTGTTTGAAAGCTGAAGAAGTGAGATTTCTAAAGAGCTTCATGAGACATTTTTAATTGTTCTGCCTGCTGAAGGAGGAGATGAAACGCAGTCCTCCCACATACAACTGAAATATTTATCAGTGTCAAAATGTGGAATTGATCGAATGATCTCAAATTATGTGCTGTTTCGATGAGCTTTAAGAGACTTAAAATGTAAAATTATAAAAGCTCATACTGGTATTCAGATGTATATGTGTTGTGTACCCATGTACAGTTGAAACCAAATATTTACATACATTGAACAGTGAGACACTCTTTTTCTCACTGTTTTAAGTTAAATCTGACCAAACTTTTCTTAGATTTACCAAATTTAATTCTATTTGCCTGAAAATTTGTCGAACATTTTTTAGAAGTTCGACAAACTTAGCGGAGTAATTATGCAGAACAGGGAGGAGATCGATTATTTTTTCAGAGATTATCTGTCTCATGTTAGGACAGCGAAAGTTTTAATACGTATGCAAAATTTATGTTTTTTAAGTTAGATGCTGCAGCTTTAAGCAGAGGTTCGGTGTGAGAGTCACTACCAGGTGGAGCAGAAGCGAAGCTCCGTCTGTCAGATATTACTACTTGTAGCGTAGCAGCGGTTCAACAGTGAGAGCAGAACCAGCGTCTTACATCGCAGCTCGAAGACTTAAATCATTTTGTGGGTTATTTGTTTAGCTTTCTGACCGTCATGCTAATCCGGGTGAGTGTTTGTAGCTGTGCGCTGCTTTACCTGCTATCTGATCCTCCGTATGTCTTTTTTACTGCAGTGAGCCTCGATGTAGCCAAACTCCGTCAAGTATGGCAATGTTTTTATGCCATATTAGATTCGTTGGGTTGATGCATTTTGACCTGCTTCACCCCACGTGCTTCAATTTTCCGCCGCAACACGCAAACTTCTAGCATTGAATGTTTGGAGCACGTCCGCTTAACGTTGTCTTGAACGTCCAGTGATTACATTTGATCGACGTCCAAATGAAACTTCAAAGAATGTCCTCCCGAACGTCATGAGACATCGCTTAGGATTTGTTGCTGCGCGTTTGCGCAGTGTGAAGGAAAAGAGGAGACCAGCTGCAGGGGCAGGCTGCGAAATGAGGAGCAGGTGAACGGCTTGTGTGATCTGCAACAAGAGACCGTGATCGGCGATCACCGATCATACACTTTTTCACAGAAATCGGCCGATTATGATCGGTGGCCGATCTGCATGCCTCTTATATATAGATGGCACATGTCTCTCGATATTGTTGACATTTTGAGTCTATGAAAATGGTGGCTAAGTCAGCCTATTCCTTTGTTGGTAAATTGTAGGTTGGAAAACAGTACTTTATTTTGTTTTCTTCTTAGTTACTCTAAATTTACCAAAATAAGTTGATCTAAATAGCTCTTTTTAAATCACAATCTTCCCTCTCCTTCTTTCTGAACCTCCTTGTTCTTCTTTGCTCCTCCAACACAGCAGGTGGCGCTGCCCTCCGGCTCTGGCGTGGGGGCGATGGTCCGCCCCGTGACGGGAACAGACATGGGCATCAGGAGGGCAGAGATCCGTCCTGGCCTTCGAGAGATCATCCTCTGCAAGGACCAGGACGGGAAGGTCGGGCTCCGGCTGAGGGCCATCGACAATGTGAGTCAGCAACCGACTCGCCCGCGCCTTAGCCGCACATAAATTATTTAGCACACACTGACTTTTAAACGCCTTGTTCCACATAAGTGCTTTTGAAGTGCTGTAGAGGTGGGCCCTTTCGTTCACTGTACTTATTTGTGTGTGAAAATAAGAGATTTCTGGGTTGAGTTGGATGATGTTTTGATTAACTCTGAGACTTTTTGTGTGAAGAAATTGTGATAACCACTACACTACACAAACTGATCAGCTATGTGACATTCCTGCTTGTCAAAGGCTAATTCTAATAATAGGTGGCAGACCAAATGTTAGTACTACAGAGTATGCTATAAGGCATGTGGTTCTCTCACAGAGCGCACTAATTTATAGATAGACAAACTGTCAAAACTTTGTTTCTGCCTAATTTCAAATAAGAGTTCATAAATTAAATTCTCTTCCGTTCTCTTTCTCTGCTCTGCTCACTAACTGACTGTTTGGGGCGACAGGGGCTGTTCGTCCAGCTGGTCCAGGCCAACTCCCCCGCCGCCCTGGCCGGGCTGCGCTTTGGGGATCAGGTTCTTCAGATCAACGGACAGAACTGCGCTGGCTGGAGCACAGACAAGGCCCACAAGGCTCTTAAAGCTGCGGCGGAGACCCGCATCGAGATGGTGGTCAGGGACAGGTGAGGACCGTTTGATGTGAAGAGGCGGGGAATAAAACATGACATAAAACAGTAATTCCAGTCATTTCTATTTTATACTGGAGGAAATTCTGTCTAATTAGCTCATCAGTATTAGGAAACACCCACCTAGTCACTGTAAAGAACTGAGGTCATTACTTTATTTTTTGATGTTACATGATCTATTATTCCTACATTTTAATTTATCCAGGATATCAAAACTGAAGCTTTACCCTTGTAAATCTCTGATGGTCCGCTGTGAATTTTTTGTTTTCCAAGACCTTTTCAGCGCACCATCACCATGCACAAAGACAGCTCAGGACATGTGGGCTTCATCTACAAGTCTGGAAAAATCACCTCCCTGGTCAAAGACGGCTCTGCTGCTCGCAACGGCCTGCTGACCGAACATTACATCTGTGAAATCAACGGACAGAACGTCATTGGACTCAAGGTCTGACTGCATTTATGCCCATCAGTCACGGTTTTGTAAAATTCTCTTAGATGCTGTAAGAATTCAACACAGGGTGGGATTGTTACGGTTGTGACAAAGGAAAAGTAAGATTAGGTGGAATTATTGTTTGTCGCATTTGGATTCAGTTGCATTTCCTTCACCTTTTACACAACCATGATGCAGTAAACATGCTTCCACTATATCCACTATTTAAAATAATTTACCAAAAGTTGATTCCAGATTGCTTATCACATTTTTGCAAGCTGATGGAAACTCGCCAAATGTAATGTTACAAACGGTAGGTTTTAATGGAAAACGAATCAACGTCTTTTTGCTTAAACTAATGTCACCAGTTTTGGGTCACGACCCCGTTAGCTAAGAGGTACTACTTTAGGATACAGAGTCCAACACTTGTATACACTGTTTTGTTTGAAAGGAAATAAATGCTGATACTTTATATCGAAGATTCAGTGACTATATAACTAATGTCAAAAGATTAAAATAAACACAACTTTACATGTTTTATTAAAATAATTTAAGATGGCCAGAGTTAAACTAATGTACTCACACTGAATAGAATCACAACATAAATGTTTCTCAACAGACTCTTTTTACATTGGTATTCCACACATCCACATGTTAATATGTTCTAGAATATTTGTTTGTGTAAGTACTAATTTTACCTTCTGTATGTTTTTCCAATAGGATTTAATTTCTGTCATGTCTCTATATTTTCTAGGACTCTCAGATTAAGGACATTCTGAACACTTCCCCCACCACCATGACCATCACCGTCATGCCCAAGTTTATCTATGAACACATGATAAAGAGGTACGCCCAGCCGCATCCTTCCATTTTAATCAGTCTGCTCATTTAGAATTTAAGATGTTCATTTTTTTTTTTCTGTTATCTCACTGACAAAAGTGTGCTGTCAATGTTTTTGGTGCTTTAAACGTATAGTTTGACTCAGACTCTCTGCAATAATAGTTGAATGACTCTTATGCTAATGTTCTTTTTTTACAAAATGAAATGAAACCCAAATTTTAATTTATTGATTGGTCATTTAAGCAGTATGTTATATAAGCGATCTAGATTCATAATTGGTTCTAAAGTAATTAGTTGATAAATTGACTGAGATTGAATCTCAATTTTCTATTTAGCTGAATCTCCTAAAAAGTGCAAATATTTAACTTTATACTGTATATTTTTAAAGTATTTTTTAATTGTGTGATATTTTACTCTGAAATGGTAATATGCAACACTGTTGAAAATTTAGTTCTGCAGTTCATCCGAAGCAGTTCATCATTTATTTCTGATAAATGGTCACAATAACAAATTTTACTGGATGATGAATTGCCCCACAATGTTGTTCAGACAATCTCAAAGTAATATATTGCCACTAATGCAAGTCCACCCTTTAAATAAACTTTAATTTCATAAATAACTCAACACTGGAATTGTAAGAAATAAAACAACCAAAAACAATAAATAAAACCTAAATAAAAACACACAAACTAAAACCATAAATAAAATGGATTACGGTGTCTTTTAGCAGCTCATTTTTTATTTTTTGAATTATTATGCTATTAATTAATTTATTACAGTGAGCTTGAATAAATGTAATGAATGTGATTGCATCCCATTTATTTCCAAGCTGATGGAAACTGTATTTGTTTTCCGTCCAGGATGTCCACCGGCCTGCTGCGGTCCGCCATGGACCACTCCGTCCCTGAGGTGTGAGGATCGTCGGCCATGCTGAAAACCGTCACCATGTCTGCAGAATAGTTCCTCTTGTCATTTTTAACCGTTTTTTTCTTCTGTCTTCATACCAAGAAGCCTTCAACTTCACATCACAATTGTTTTCCTTCATTACCTGTAACATATTCTTAAAACGAAACCTTTTTTACTCTTCACTTTTCTACATTTTATCCTTAGTACTGTCTGTATGTTTACTTAGTAGTCTGATGTGTAGTACGCATCTGTTTTTCCTTTTTTTAAATTCAGGATTAGGACTATAGAGTAAGTTGTTTTTGTTTGTTTGTTTTTGTTTTTTTCCTTCTTCTTTTTAAAAAAGAAACATGCACAAACTATCATGAGTCCAGATCTTCCTCCTCAGTATGGAGCCAAGTCGGTGACACTTCATCCTTTCCTAAATGCTGTAGAAGTTGATCGGCAGCCATGCGGATAGTAGATGTAGTCTCTGCACACCTTTTTTTCTGTAAATAATCCAATCTGAACTAACACCTGGGTTCTGCGAATCAAAAATAAACTCATCTAATTCCAGTGTACAGCCATATACCGGGGGCCAGTAGGAGTGGTTTGTTTTTACTTCCTCTCATTTAACGGTGAGGATCAGGTTTTAGTCAAACATTGTGAGTGTTAGCATTTTTTTTATTATTATTGTTGATTTGCTGTTCCGAGATTCAAAGTCAGCAGTTTTCTATATTGTCCAGCAGGTGGCGACCTAGAGTAACACAGTTCCAGCCTCTGAGCTGCAGCTACAACAAACACTGCATTTTCCAGGGGGAACTGTTGGGAAAAGAAACAATGTTTGGAGGGATGAGGGAAATAAAAGAATAATCTGAATATTATTATGGTCGCCTGTTAATTGGTGGTAAAGCGTTGTATGGTTTTGTGTTTCATGAGGAAATGGCTGATATCATTTCATTGGGGGCCCCGAGCCGGGCCCGCCCACTAAGTGCACTTTTCATTACCTTATAAAAGTTTTTTTTTCTCCTGTATTAACCATTTCACCTTTTTTAATCTTTGTGGTGCCTCGTGTTAACCAGACAACTCATAAAAAATAAAATAAAATTCAGACAGGACTTCCTGCTGTCTTCTTGTCTCACGACTGATGAACAACGACCTTACACTTGTAAATTCCCACATGTTCCTCCTTTTATTGCTGTTCATTTTTGGGATGCATGTACTCTTTTTAATTTTCTCTGTATGCAATCTGATAAAAAAAAAAATGCTGTCATTCTGTAAAAAATATTACAAAAATCTAAAAGTTTATATACAAATGTAACCAAGATAATATTGTAAAACTGAATAAAGTCTTTTCTGTTCACACCCTGATTCTGCCTCATTGATTCACAGTTCGATGACAAAGACGACAGGAATGCTTCCATCACGCTCTGTTAACATAAGTTTATTTTTGATTTTATACAGTGTGGAGGGACCTGGACCCCATTTGTTTTTATATCTTTTTTTTTTCACTGCACACCCTCTTATTGCATTAAAATAGTTATTTCAGATAAGCTTCAAATATATATTTATTCTGTACAGGATAACGGACGCCTGAACAGGTTTGATGTTAAGGAACTAGACCTCAGGATACATCAGGGTTACTTAGGGAAGGGAACACACACAAGTATGTTGTGTTTACAAGGACATTCCATTGACTTCCATTAATTTCTACTGTCTAACCTTTAACTTAAACATAACCACTACATGCCTAACCTAAACTCAGTTCACACCTTAGTCCAAACCTAACCCACAAACAGCACTTCTCTTGGTCCCCGCATTGTGGTGTGCTTTAGGACAACAGTCCTTGCAATTTAACAAATACAAGATCAAGCGCACACACACACACACACACGAGTAATTTTTGTAGCACATGTTCCTGCATAATTCAAAATATTAAGATAAAAGATTTTAAAAAATATGTTTGATGTTAGTGATAAGAATTTAATTTATTACTGCAACCACCTTAGTTTCACTAAATCATCTCAGTGTCTTGCCATGTGAATGCTATTAAGACAATATCTTGTAAATTGGTGCTATAAATATATAAACTGACAAAACTGAATTTAATGTGCTCAACATTGTTAATAATCTTAATATTTAATTAGAAATTATTGCCCAACTTGATTAAAAAGCAATAGCCACTGTGTTCAACATTCAGGTACATGAAAGGCAAATGATTCGAAATAAATGGTGTACATGGTTCTGCTCAAAAGTCATTGAAGGGCAAAATATCAGTGGATTTCCAAAGCTCAAATATTCTGGAAACTGAGGAAATTGATTTAATATTTTATGACTGTGAGAAGAATTAATATTCTACCATCTGATGCGTTTGTATGTTTGTCTTCATCGGTCCTGCACACCAACCTGCAGCTGGTTCCATCGCTGCCCAGGCTTTATCTAAAAGGGATAGTTTGGATTTTTTAAGGATGATTTTTTTGAACACAGATGCAAGATCTGTTTCTTGCAGTAAAAGTAAGTTTTGGAGTTTTTTTTTTTTTTTAACTGTTATTTCATATCCAATAGACATCAAAAAAGTTTTAAGATTCTTCTTGACTTCTATTAATTTAAATGTCATAAATGTTATAGCAAATAAACTCATTCTACAGATGTCCAGCTTTTTCAGGGGCACTAAAAGTTGCTTTCCATAGTTTCTGTATTACTTTTTCAGCAAATAAATATGCATGAGCAAATATAACGATATTGTTGAAATAAGATGATACGTTAAAGACTCTTAATGATATCTGCTTTATATCAGCAACATTTTGAAACTATTTTAAAATGGCAGAAGACAATTTTTATCTTGGCCCAACTGTGATGAACCAGAGTTCATCAAAGTGAGGAGCGCCTACAGGAAGTGATCAGTGGCGCCCCCTGGAGGAGATCTGAGGTTGAAAAAAAAGGAGCTTTTATCTGGATACCCTTCACAACTGTGGTCATTTTTGATTGGATGTCGCTTAACGTCCAGCCCAACCAAAAACATTTTGACATAATGTATTTGCTTCTAACAAATAATTTCCCCTGCTCACTTTTTGATTAATTGAAATAATCCCCTTCAACTGGATGGCAACTCTCAAGAAAGAAAGACACATTTTCCTCAATAGGTATGTGCAACAATCTTGTCAATTTGAATTAACCTCAGGTGAAACTGTTTTATAATGCAAAACCAAAATGTATATCCAATGCGTCAGAAAAATAAGTTGTACCTGTTAACAATGAAAACTGGGAACATCAGTAAGAGATATTCCCATATCATAATCAATTAATAAAACTTTATAAAATGTGGACTTTAAGATGTGAACTTTACAGGCCAATATTGCAAAATCATTTCTGTTTCGAAAGCAGGGAGATTCTGTACAACAAGCCTGACTGGATAGAAACATGTGACCTTAACTACATGTGCATGTCAGTAAATGAGAATATAATCCAAATAATTGGATGACATTATCAAATTATTAATTATTGGATAATATCATCTAATTATTTAATTCAATAATTCACTTCAAAAAGGGAAACTCTGATATCAAACGGATTCACTTAGTAACGGGGTGATATGTTTCAAGCATTTATTTATGCCAATGTTGATGGTTATGGCTTACAGCTGATGAAAACCCAAATGTCAGTTTCTCTAGTAATTGCATAAGACCATCTTACTAAGGTCTTTAATACAGAAATGTTGGTACAGTTGATACAGTTGTAACCATAGCCAAGACTGCCTGTTGCCTTGTTGACAGCTAACAGTGTTGCAGCAATGTTTGCATGTGAATAGAAAGTTGGTTGGAAGAAAAAAAAAAGTTTGGTCGAAAAAAGCAAACAGAAAAATTGCAGCCTCAGCAGGATTGTGAAGCCAAACTTGTTAAAGAGTTTGAGGAAGAATTACAAAGTGGAATTGGTGTTTCAAGAAACACAACTCACAGACATGCTAGTGTCGATATTTATGCAGTGGACCCCAGAAGCTGCCCTGGAGTAGCTCAGATCCACTGAAACAAAAGGTTTAGACCTCCTGTAGAATAACTTAGTGTATATTGTAATAGCCAAATAAATACATCTAAATATGCATCAATGTGCACAGTGGAAACCATTTTAGCATGTCTGCAGAAGCTAGCATCAATGGTCCTCCATTACTTGGGGGTGTAGCCAATCAGCTCTGAGGAAAATGATTGGAGTTTCTAGATTGACTATTTTGCAAACTCCAGCCAGTAGGGTGTCAAGTTGCATTGCGCCAAAGTATCTTTGTTTATTTTTGATACCCTCCACAAAAAAGCCCAAGCATAGGCAAATCTTTTGCAAAATATTTTAAAAAATATGCAAAAACTGAACTTTGATTAAGCGGGAGTCCAGCGTATTTCTGTGTTAGATTTTCTGAAGAAAAACAAAAAACCCTAAACTGTAAGATTTAATTAGCTGAAATACATAATTGACAAAATAAATAGAAGTAAACATTTGAGTCTGTGTGCTGAATATGAAAATATATAAGTCTGAACTTACTGCGATAAATTGACTTTTCTTTGTTCTCATTTCTCAGGATGTTCCTAGTAAACTGCATTAAGTCTCTACAGATGACAACTTCAAACTTTCTTTGCTTTATTACCCTGTTAGTCACAGCAGCCTGTGGTTAGTAACAATGTGAAAGCAAACTACAAGATACTGTAGGATTGCTTCACATAACTCTGGTATTGTGTTTTTTTGTCTTTTTCTTTTTTTTACATTACTTTGCAGAAGAGAGGCTGACTCTCACATTCCCACACTTTCACCCTGACAGCTCTACAGCATATGGCTTTATTTAAAAACATGGTTTCTGCCTCTTAATTTCCCTTCATACAGTCAGACAAGGGATCAAATCTACAGTTCAACACAGAGAAACAACAGAGGACATGTTCTTTCTCTAGAACCTTCTATGAAACAACAATAGACAAGAGTTTCCATGGTTACCCCAAACATAAACTCATGATTGTTGTAATTTCTTTACCAGTCAGATTATAGCAATAAGCATCGGTTTGGAGGTTTCACTTTCGTTAAGAGCAGCTCATTTTAAGGATTAAAGAATGACAAATTACAGTTTTTATCATACAAAAATGATCAACATTAAATATCTGATTTTCCATTTTCCATTAAGAAGTGTACCACTACCAACCCTTATGGACCTAACAGAGCATCAAAAATAATCAGTGATGAAACAACAGTTGGTACAGATACATGTACAGTCGACTTCAAGTAAGTCCTTAAAACATATAAAGTGAATAATAGTGCAATATATGGCAGTAAAAACTTAAAAAAGAGAAGGACATTGCGTATTCACGTGTTGGTGGTTCCAGAGGATTCTTGCGTCTGTGTTTGACTCTGACATCTAACAGAAACATTTAGATTCACTTTCAGTGGAGACACATTTATACCAGAATACAGAAGTAAAAAGGCCAGCAGAACCTTCATCTGAGGAAGACGAGCAGCACAGACTGAATTCAGACACAGTCATCCTAAAACGCAAACTCTGTGATTTCTGTCTTTTAAGAAGTTTGACATTTTCTTACTTTCCATTTTATGTTTTTATCATAAACGTATTTGCCTATATCATTTTATGAAGTCATTCATGGATGTTCCGTCTCTCTGAATATTACTACACAGTGTGATGTTGTACTGTTCCTTTTCCTGTCATTTTGCTCTTTGCAGCCTCTATAGCCCTTAGAGTTATATGGCATTTTTGTTGGAACTTTTCATCTCCAAAAAATTATCTTGGGCCTGCATGTTAGTTTTTTTATGTGGTTATTTTGTAACTGACAGTGTGCTGTGAGTTAACATGTTTTATATATACTTTCAATTTGATGATTGAAAGTACATGTAGTCTGGACACTTTCTACTCTTTATTATTGAACACGAGCTATTTCTTAAGAATGGGCAAAAATAGTAGCTAAAAAATAATTTGTTTTGGTTCACCAAAACAGATTGTTAAAAAGAAATTAAAAACTAGAAAGCTATGCTTTTCCCCCCATTTCAAAATTATGCTTCATTTTATGTTGGTTTGTCAAAAAAAAAAAAAAAAAAAAAAAAAAACAGAAAAAAAAGGCATTGCAATTTGTGGATGTAATAAAATATAGTCTTAAATGTAATTATTTCTTTTAAATATTTGCAGAATGTATTTTGTCAGTATCTTGAATGCTAAGTGAAAAATGCTTTACCTTAGTGGTACTTAACCATCAATCTGTTATATGCTTCTTGAGTTTTGACATCAGCAAACACCAACGTCAGCCTGATAACAGATACACAGAAAATAAAATTCAGCTGAATGCAACTGGAACCAAACAACACATTTTGAAAAAGTAAGTGAGTTTGCCCTAACAGATTTCTAGAATGTCTTTGCAAGACAATTTAAGACACACAGTTTGTTTTTGTGATGGACTAATTTTTGTACGATGGACTTGAGAATACATATCGACAGTTAAAGACTAGCTACAGCACAAGAGCATCAGGGTTAGCAGAAATATACAGCACAGATCACAGACTGAGCACAACTCACTTCACTCAGATCTACCGATGGTGTCAAACTGAGATAGTGAGTATCTACAGACGTTTGATCATGACTTCACTGTATGACTAAAGAGTTCTGACTCTGCCAGCGGTACACTAAACAGCTATATAGGTAACTGTGTATAGAAAATATTCCAGGCCCACATCATTCCCCAGACACCGTTGTGAATTTGGCAAATGAAAAGGCACAAATTAGGGAGGAATAGTCTAAGAGCAATATATTTCTCAATGTACAAAATTTACACACTGAATTTTCCATAACATTTCATGAATTATCACCAAAAAAAACCCAACTTTGATTTATTTAGTGTTCTTTCAGAGATATTCAAGATAGCTAAGTTAGCTATTCTAACCCTTAGTTAGAAGGGTAAGAATAGCTAAAGGACGATTCAGAGCAGGTGTAAGGATATCATGAGCGTTGAATGTGTTGTCTGTGGACTAATTATTTAATGGCAAGAAATTAATGGACAGGGTAAACATCTGGAGGGGCGGGAGGGGACGGCATTATTAAATCGCTGTAAGAACACTTAGCACACAAGTGATACAGTGAAAATAAACAGGTGAGTCTAATGAAAACAATCTCAGGGTAGAAACACAATCAGCAATCTGCGAGAAAGCAGATCAGTGTCGATTCCAGAAGCAGATTGCAGAAGAAGGGTTGGACTGAAAAGAACACAACAAATAAACTACAGAGCAAACAAGGGAATAGGATGCAGTCTACCACATGTAGAGAAAACTAACAGGAAAACCTGCACAGGTTGTTTGCTGTAAAAAAAAAAAAAAGACTGAATGTTAGCCAAAGTAATGGCTAACATTGTTCATAGGTTATCATTACTTCTGTCTGAACTTCCACCATGACGGTGGAAGCTACTGTGAAGTGGTCTGTTTTTATGTACTGAGGCGTATTTTTGAAGTGTTTAAAGCTAGGCTAACTTTCTTCTTTTATGTTTGTTTAAATAATTACACAGCGAGGTACGTGTCCCTGTGAAACTAAGACACATCTGGATGACTTGTTGCACTGCTGCACCTAATCAGAGCCAGATTAACTCCAACAGATATGTTTAACATGAAACTGGATTACAGCTAAATTCACTGGATGATCTTCCATCAGTTAACAGATGGGAAATCCAGACAAACGACTGACCGTCACAGAAAATACATTTAGTTATAAGAAATAAATGCTCAGAGAGGATCATGTAAGATTTTAGGTTAATAAAATCACAAATAATCTTTATTCTTTATAACTCTGCAATCATTAATTAGCGCATGACCTCACTGTCATGTGCTCTTAATGATTTAAATTTCTATTTTAAAAAATGCCTGACCAATTCTACTCTAAATGCGTTTACCTCCATTCACCGTTATGTCTTGTCCATTGCTGGAGCTAAAGGTAGTCGCGTCTCCTTTCATCTAGAATATTTTACTCCCCTGAAAATGGAAACATTTCAGCTGAGCACCACATTGGATAAAGGTAAAAGAACAACATAATCCAAGTTCCTTTCCACTGAATAATATTATAATTTACCATTACTAAAGTTGTCATTAAGAAAACCTTTAGAAAAGGAATAAAGTTCATCTAAAGAATAAATGTCATATCTTTGAATTTATTCACTTCTACTTCTGGCCAGTAGAGGGAACCATTAACTTCTAAAGCAGTCATTTAATTCAGAACGACTTGTGTCAGGAAGTGAAAGAAAAGTGAAGCGTTTTCTTCCTGTTCTAGCCGATCTAAACCTTTTGTGTTTTCAGTGGACACTAAAGAGGCTGTTTATAAACATCTGAACTGTAATAGCCAGGCCTTTCCATGAAGTCTGCGCTCTGCAAATTTCTTATGCTGCAGTCAACAAGCCATACGGAGGTTACAGACAGCTTGGATATCAAAGACTACATTTTCATCATACATATCTTCACTGCCAGTTTAAAGAGAGGGAGCCAGTAAGAATAAACTGCTTTTGACTGAAGTTCATTTAACATACCACGGTGCAAAGCCGCCTGTCAGGATCGGTTGTGTTTCTACCCTGAGCAGATACCTGAGTTCTGTGTCTACCATGTTTTTTCTCCACAGCAGACAAATTCAATCTATTACCTCTTGAAGTTATCGGTGAAAAGTGTCTGCAGCTTTGGATAAAAGTGGATTTTTTTTCCACTACCACTGGTCAACAACCGTTACCTTAGTTTGTTCTAATTTAATTTTACATATACACGCCTACACATACATATAAAGTATTTATGTACACATTCACCAACATGTGATCATCGTATTACGTCATAACTGACAGCTGACATGGCAAGGAACATTTTCTCTACATTCAAAAATAAATTAAACAATCAACTCCAAAGCAGTGATCATTCATTTCAAGCAGCTCATTCAGCTAGCACAAGCCAGTACATGGATATTTTGGTAACGACAGCAAGGACCAAGCAAGAAAAAGTAATTGTCTTTCTTGCTTTTACAATATGTTGCAGGGTCAAACAGAGTAGAGTTGATTGGTCAAAGGTCTTCCTCTTTGATGCCCAACTCTTGTTCCTAACATTCCCATTCTTTATTACCATCCAAAGCAGAGGAACAAGAAGTTCTTGCTCTTCCTGTCCTTGCACTTTAAGCAATGGTCTCACACTACAGACCACACAGGAGAAGTGACACCACAGTAAAGAACCAGAAAGATGTCATTCTGTTATATTTGTGTGCCCCCAAGATCCCCCCCGCCTGCGGGGTAATGTCTCAGGCCACCGCCCCTGCGCAGCGAGTGCAGTGCAACAGTGCAGCAGCCTCTCAGCAGTGAACCGAAGTGATACATAGGCTGGCCGCCACGGACCGGGCCACGGCACAGCCACGCCACCGTCGGCACCACAGGGATGGCCACCGCTAGCAGATCAATCAGGAAGTGACGACTCCAGTAGCTTTTTTGGATTTTCCCAGAGTCCTCGTCTTCTGCTACATCAACCCCTGTGGCCTCTTGTTCATTAGTCTTATCTTCGTCATCATCCTCGTCATGAACTTCCACCACTGTGACACCAGCTATCTCTTCACGGGAGATAGATCTCCTCGGAGGCTGGGATGTTTGAGGCTCTTGTGCACCAGGAGACAGTCTAGTGTACTCTGGAGTAATCACAGGGCTCGTTTCCTCTGTGGATCTTTCTCCAATCCCGGCCTCTTGCTGCTTGTCCTCCACTCTCTGGTCATCTTGCTTGTCTTCTCCACAGCAGCCTGCAAAATTAAGTTCACCCTGCATTCTTCCTGCTAAATCACAGACTTTTCTTTGTTCTACCTCTTCATGCAGTACCTCAGTCCCTTCCACTGAGCTTTGAACTGTCTGCTGCTCCTCTTCTGATTGTCTGACTTTAGTGTTTTCCAACTTTTCTCCTGCCTTCTCTCTTTTTTCTCTTTCTTGCTTTTCCTCTTCCTCATTTGCCTGATACGAAGGACTCTCCATGGAAAATGCCACAGTAGCGGATCGCGGAAGAGGTGGAGCCAGTGGTGTTTTGGAAACTGGAATTGGCTCAGTGGCTGTGCTCATCACGGTCGCTGTTGTCACTGAAGTGGTGGTGGTGATGGAGTCCAGATCCTCTTCCCCCTCATCAGACATCCAGGTGGAGGTGGGGCTGCAGGCCTGAGAGCGAAATGTACGTTGCTCTGCAATAGTATCCAGATCAGAGGGATATCCCGCTGTTGCAGGGATGGGGCAGCTCTCAGTCTGAATGCCTGCCTCCCTCAGGGGGTGCAGGTACAGGTGGTGGTGGGACAGGCAGGGGTGGCTCATGCAACTCACTCCACCCAAACTACAACGAAATGGAGCCAGCCGCTCGCCTGTGCAGAGTTTCTCATAGGTGGAGGAGTGAGGCACCGTGTGTGGCATGGAGTGGGACATGTTGTGAGGGAAAGAATGAGGTAAGGTATGGGAGTAGGTGTGAGGCAGAGAGAGGGAGGCAGAATGAGGCAAAGTGTGGGAGAAGGTCTGCGTGTAAGAGTTCAGCAAAGATGCCGTTTCCTCTGAGAGGTAGGCGGCTTCCAGGAGGAGGTCTGCCCGGCTGGGGACGCTGTTCTCTCCACAGCACACAAACCCGCTGTCCTGTGTGCCGTCAGCTGAGAGGCAAGGAAAGTCTGCATCATTGCAATTGCGGTCTCCCAGTGCCTGGTCGCTCAGCTTGGTGTAGGTGGAGCTCCGAGTCAGAGAACGGGCTGGAGAGCCATCGCAAGAACAAGACCCCCTCCCTCCCACTGGCAACTTAGGTACAACTCCAGGGCTTTCTCCAGAAACAGATGCTGGGGCTGAGCCCCCAGCACGGGTCCTGCAGCCTGGTATGGCTTCTCCTTCCTTGGCTAGTCCGGCTTGTGCTATCTCCATGTTAAGCAAAAGGTTCTCCAATTTGTGATTCTGAGTATTGATGTCCTGGAAGTACTTTTGAACCCCTACGTCTCCACTGAGCCCACCGGCATCACTAAGTCGGGTACGAACTGTGTCCACTGCATGTTTGAGCTGCTGAATTTCCTGACGGGCCTCCTTCAGGGCTAACTGAGCCTCCACGCGGTGACACTCCTCCTCAACCCAGTCTTCCTGCATTCGGTAAAGCTTACTTCGCAGTGTATCGATCTCTGTGTCCCTAAAAGGTTGAAAAGTGAGAGGAAGGGCAGAATGATCAAAACTAAGTGGAATACAGAAAGACATTTTAAACATCAGTTTCTATCCAGGTTTTTGTAATTCTGTCTCAGTATCTCACCTGTCTTGCAGGGTGTTAATGGTCTCTTTGAGCTTGGCTCGCAGGTGTCGGATACACACTTCCTTCTGCTGGAGAGGCGTGAGGTACTGCTCTGGGGGAGGAGGGCGAATACCATGGTTGTCCGTACATGAGGTGTACTTCTGACGTCTGGGACATAGCAGACATAACCAAATATAAGTGATCCGCCACAAGTTGAGTATTAATAAGTTGATTGGCTTGTTTTAAAAGACAGGCTCTGTATGATAGCTCAGAAATCCTGAAATTTACTGCAAGTTTTAAAAATGAGTTAAAATCAGGGTTGTTTTTACTAGAAAACAGTTTTGGTCACAAGACTTTTTGACACTCTCCCAGCACCTGGACTTGTCTTGGTCTTGGACATTAATGACAAGACCAGTCATTACTGTGGAATTATCACTAAATTGCCAGAATACTGTCCAAATTATTTAACATCCTTGATTCAAATCTAAGCAATAACATGACTCATTGCTAATTGTATGATTTTTGTTACCGTTGCCACCCATTCACACCTCTTTTCACTTGCAGTTAAAAAAAAAAGTGAGCTCTGGTTATCTGGATGTGAGAAAAGATGTCTGCAAAATCTTCAGAAATACAATTCATAAATAATATATTTGTAAAACAAGATCCAGAAGAAAGCATACAGTGACTTATAAATCCCACAGTCCTTTACTTTTACAGATGGTGGGGACCATACCAATGTTTTTTTGTCACTTAGAAAGGGAGCACAGAGAAAGGTAACCTAAGTGTAAGTAATTATAGCAAGCTAGCCAGCATAAGCAATCTGCCTCTGTACCAAAATTCTTTACCCAGACCTCACACAATTAGATTTAGTCAATATTAGCTACACATTAATTTATCAACCTGTGTGCAGTATATCACATATGTTTTATGGCACTAAAACATGGAAACACCAAGCTGCAAAAACTAACATCACCCTATATAGTTAGTATATTTAGGGAATTAAACAAATAAAACGTTTCACATTTCATTGTGTGATGCAGAGCATGGTGCTGGTCTTGGTCTCGATTTGGTCTCAGGTTATGTCTTGACTATAATACAAAGAAAAAAAAAACAGACTAGAATCCTAATATTAAGCTGATTGTGTCTTTTTACACAACTTTGAAAGAAATGTCGGGATTCCTGTAGTTAAAGGAATATGTTTGAATGGAATAAGCAGTTAACACCTGACAATTCTTTTAGCGTCTTTGTTTAGAAAAAAATAGCAGTTCATTTTGTAGGTTCCAAAAATATCATGCTGGTTTGAGTTAATACTATCACATTCACATTGCATAGACTTGGCAATGTGAAATCTATGCAACACTCTTATTGTTCAGAACTTCTTACCCTTTGGTGGGGCTGCAGTCACTGCCTTTACACGAGCCTGAGTTGCTGCCACTGCTGACGGAGGCATTGCCATGATCTCTATTACTGGGTGCAGCTGGAGGCCGCCTGGAAAGAACGAACCAACTCTTTACCTCTTACCATGCAACTAAAGACCACAAGTGGACTGATAAGCAGTTCTACTACACATACAAAGACGGAAATGCACATAAATACAAGGCACTGACTCGTGGCCACCAGCATGCCACTGCAGCATACACACTGACAGATCACAACACTCAGACATTTAAGTGGATATCAACAGAAAATAAGCCTGCATGAGGAACGTGAACACACACTTCTCTGGATATTGATAATATTATTATCAAGAAGGGAATGGGCTCAGTGATTTAAAAAAAGACAAGCAAAGTAGCATCCAACAAAAGCAAGCTAATTAGTTGGTGCACAGACAGCTTTTATTTCCGACTGTAAGACATCGTGAGACACCAAAAACATTCCCATGCTCAAAAAACACCAAGACTTGGACTCTCCACAGACCGGGAACGTGGCGTGGATGGAGAGTTTGTCGAGCGGCGATCCGGAGACTTTGTGGAGGTGTATCCTTTAGTGGGCGACTTGGTCGATGTATAGCCTTTAGTGGGACGCATTGAGACCATGTAGCCCGACTCCATGGGGACATAATCTAGCTCTATGAACCTGCAGTAGTCAAACCTGAGCAGGCAGAAACAGGAAGGTGTTAAACCGCAGAAGGCGGATCAGCAAACCGTACCTGCATGACGCGATGTGTGTGAACACATGCAGGCAAACTGCACCTGTCCTGAGGGGACAGGAGAAGCTCTCAGGTGGTGGCTGCAATGAATATCACCAAGCACTGAACTGACCCAGGTGATGATGCCTTCTGAAAGGCTCTGCATTTGGACAATCTGTTGCTGTAGGGCTGCACTGACGGAAAACATAAACTAATAGTGTGGATATTAAAACACAATCTAAAAGTGAGAAAAAGAATGGCCAGAGGCGTCTTAGATGGATAGCATAGCATGTGTCATGACAAAACTAACATTTGCTCATAAAAACCTGGATATTCAGAAGCACTTTATGCCAAATATGTTTTCACACAAATGATTCTAAACAGCAGAGGTTATGAACACTAGGTAATACTGATACAGAAATGATGACAATATGGCTAAAACCTATTTTATTTCAATACAAAGAAAATCTTTTGCTTCAAAAAATGCAGTAGAGCTGATCACTAGACCTTTCTATCACTCCTACAACAGAAACTATAAGACAATTTACAGTATAGCCAAAGGATGCTGCAGTAGGGAACTGCTTCAGGATAATGAAAGACAGCTTGAAAGTTAGTAGGAATAGCAATATTTGCATATTCCTGGTAAAAATTTAACCTGTAGTAGACAGTCATCTCTTGTTTGCACTCTCTGTCAGACCAACACATATAAAACAAGAGGTTAAAAGACTGAAAGCAGGGCTCTATGTTTTTTGCCTTTCCCCCCCTGTTGTTTTTACTTAAACACAGAGGAAAAAATTGTCAACCTTTTTCATTCTTCTACATCCAATTGTTATGGATGAGTAGGATTTTGCTAGCTGTTTGCCCATGATTCCAGCTTTTATATAAAAACATGCTGATGTTCAGAAGTTCTGGATTCTGTCAAGAAAGTAAAGCCTTTTATGTAAAAGCACATCCGTCCCAGGCGGGAAAAAGGAAGAATGCTCTGTGATGGGCAACTTCTATATCTGTGTTCTATAATTATAGAGAGGTTTTAAAGAAAAACATACTTTTTTATTTTTTAATGACTGTTGCCCAGTCACTGACCACCAAAAGTGGAAGAGGAGACAAGCAGATCTACTCAGAGCAGCCATGAGGAATTTACACACAGGACACGGTAACTACAAGCTAACCCAAGGCTCCAGTCTTTGCTTTGCTTCTTGTTGTCATTTAGGGCAGCAGTTCCCAAAGTAGGGGTCAGGGTGTTGAGGGCCGAAATAGAAAAAAAATTATATCAAATGTGAATGTACAATGAAACAAATAAATGTATCAAAACTATTCCATTAAATATTTAAATTTCTTAAATGATGAAAGTAAATAATACCATTTTAGTCCTAAACCATAAATGCATTTAAAAAGCATATAATTATATACAGAGTGAAATAATTACACATATTTTACGGCGTCACCAGGTTATCAATAGACTGTCGGTGCTCTCTGGTCCTATTTTTTAGTTGGTCACAGTTGGGAACCCATGACTTAGGGAAACGGGTTTTTTCCTCTATTATTTTTAAAGTACAATTTTAGAATGTTATGAAAGTAAAAGTCTTTCAATAACCTCCAACAGCTCTCATAAAATCTCACCCACATACATTTAAACTACTAATTTAACGATTAAACAAAAATAATAGGATTATGTTTATATTTAATAATTTCTCACAAATATACTGATGCTTAAACATGGGCTATCTAACAGTTTTTATACATTAACTCTTTTAAATTATTTTTGCTGATCTTGCAGTGGTGAAAACAGCTAGCTAGCTAGATACAAGGTTAATGGTGGATGAATTGGATTTCTTGCTATAGGATCAACTTGAAACCCTTAATTTGGAGAAGAAACTCAAAATTAAGTAACCTGGTGTTTACCAGTCCCAAAAGAGATGGGCAACTTCAACGAGTAGCAAAATGGATTTAAAGCTGACAGATTCACTGTGGAGAAGTGGCTAACTGTTAGCTTACAAAAGAAAATAATTTCAAGCTCTTTGGGCTAAAGCATCAAAATGTCTACATATTGGCTTTGCTTGTGTAGTGTCATCGTGTCCTGTGCAACACAACGAGGGAGGAGGTCAGATATTGACAGCTCAACAGATCTTTGAAAATCAATATATGACAAACAAGCCCAGACATTAACGAAAGGTGAACCAGGCAGACAGGAGCAGCTCAAAACAGGGGATGAGTCTAAGAAGTGACACAATACACAGAGAATCAGTGTCTCTGGTCTGGTTTATTCATCTACAGACGGTGCCTGTGACAGGTCAGTCAGGTGAAGGTGAGCATTAGATGTCAGCATGAGCAGCAAGCTATTGCTACATGATGGAGATAAAGTTTAAAAGGCTTCAGTCTTTTTGATAAATCAGATACAAGAAGAAAAACAACAAAATTAAACAATAAGATATTTCCCATTTGAAGTGAAGCCAGTGTCTCAAATGTATCCACAGGCTAAGCAGTGAGTGGTGAACCAGTGATCACTCATGATCACAGAATGCTTTCTTAGCACAGCTGCTTCCACTATAGCCACTAAACACGATCTCACAAGAACACCGGTCCTCCAATATGAACTCCATGTTCACGTTTACCAGCAGAGTGTAAGGTATAAGCAGGTCTACCTCATCTATTTGCTCGAACAAAAGCTCAACAAGAGCAGCAAAATAAAGTTTTTAAAAATTTGCCTTTGTTTTCCATTTCTGGTTTTAGTGGCTAGAGCGTCAGAGCTGCAGCTACAGCCGGGGAGCATGCTCGCTGAGACTGCAATTCAACAGTGTCTCACGCAGGGGGCGCAGGCACCGGAATGGCCACCGGCGCAGTGGCCGCGGCTGCACTCGTCCCCGATCCCGATGCCGGCTTGGAAGCCGCCGGCACGGGCGAGGACGCCAGTATTTGCTGCAAGCGGCGTTTGGGCTGCAGCGCCTTCAGAGGGTTGAATCTGAGGAAGAGGAGAAATGAGAGAGGAGGACACCATGGCTTCAGACTGAGGCTGCTGCTCATTACCGTGACCGTAAAAAGCAGACATCTTAACACCTGTCAGAGAGGAAAATGATGACAGAGCTTATGTACAAGAAATAACCTAAGCTTAACTAATGCAGTTCATCTGTATTAAGTTATATGTGGAAAGGTTCTAAAAACTTTCCGCATTTGTTTGTGTAAGAAAGATGCGAGCCAACTTATTTTCTCTAAGTAGTCTGTTAAAATAAAGGGGACAGGTCAGAACATGACCACACAAAGGCCCAGTTCCACAGAGAAAAGGCACTAAATTAACAGCTGTTCATTGTCTGAAAAAAACAAAACAAAAAACAAAACAAACTATCATCCTCCTACCACTTCCTGTTATGTTTTTTGTCATTTTCGTCAGCAGTATCATCCGGTACTGTCACGTTGATCACGTGACTTGTGTGATGCAAAAAAGTGTTTCTATTGCAGTTTTGTGAAATACACCTACTTCAATAAACCACCTCATCCTAGTGCAAAATCTTTCAGGTTATCCTAGCACAATAAACTTTTTGAAATTGCTTTGTTTCCATTAAGCAATGTCAATTTGTGCAACAATCAATATAGCCAGGAAGTCATGTTCCTGTTTCCTTGTCTTTTCTGGCCCGTGTAGGACAAACTCTGGTTTTAGAAAATAATACCACCACTCTCCCTGGATCCCAGGAGTTTCCATTTCTATATTTGGATGACACAGATCCCTCAGGCACTAAAAAGGCGACACATTTTTGTAAAGGCAAAATTCAATTATGCATTTTTTTAAATAAGCAAACTGACAGACCACATTGCCACTATAACTTCACAACTTGTTTGTCTGAAACATGAAATATGGACAGATGGGTTCAGGACTGGCTTGAATATTTATGCACCACTGACCCACAAATTGTCTGACCACAACTGCATTAGGATCCATTTGGTGTGCAGACACTTCAGCTCATCTCCATCTCATACCTTACACAAAACTCTTCTATGCGCCAAAAGAATTACACACAAACATTAACTTACTTATTGATAAAAAAATAAACACATACAGTGCATCCAGAAAGTATTCACAGTGCTTCATTTCTCCCTCAGTATTACTGCAGCAGTGATTAAAGAATAAAGTTGAAAGAATTATGCTAATTAGGAACTCTCAAGCTTCCATGTCATCTTGAGGCACTGTGCTAATGATCATTGAGTGAGTTTTCTGCAATAGCCATTAGAAGAGTTTAAAGCTCTACATGTGACCTCAAGTGTTGTAAAATAGGAATCTCTTTAAGCCACTAAATGTCCCCTATGATACACAGAAGTAAGTAAAGCTATACAAACCCTACATAAACAGAAGAAAATCACTTACACAAAATGTAAGTCACTTCTGAAATATATCCCTGGTTCTGGCACCATGTTTAGGAATGACTGGATAATAATTGCCAACTAACATATGAGGAACATTTGAAAAAAATAAGCAACTGTATGGAATACCACTGTTTCTGATAAGTTATTAACAATCCGATTTGCCCGTTTAACCGAGGTCCATTCAGAAAGAGTTGCTAAAACTCTATACTGACAAAAACCATTTCAATTAACATAATATAGGATAACATGGCAGATCGCCATTAAGCTGGACTTGAACCAAACACAGAAAAAGGATGTTTTCAATGAGATTCAGGGAGTTAACAGACAGGTGTCAGACTGAGACAGGTGTGTTTTTTTTAAGACTTTATCAGGATCATTTACAGGGATGTTCTCTTTGGAGACATCTGAACGCAGGATATCACTGATGTAGATATAGAGATGTGCCTTCAGATTCATTACTGGATGTGTGATTCCAAATGCAGCTGTCTCTGATCTGGTATTCATGGCAGCTGGAACATGGGGCAGTGACTCAGCAGACTGTTTGATGCCAGAGATATGACACAAGATGAAGCCTGTCCCTAAACATGTATTAAATTAACAGTGTAGAAAAAGATTAAATGGGAGGGGAGTTTTTGCCATAAAATATAATAAATATGTCATATTTAGGATTTGTCCATCTTTGACTTGATGACAATTTTTAATACACAAGTCTAGATTTATTTATTTAGCTGTGTCCGAAATTCCCTTATTTTCTGTTCAGTCATTGTGATGCCAATATTCATGTACTGGAGTAAAACCAGAACTAAGTTAAGTAAAGTAAAGGGTAAACTCATCCATCCATCCATCCATCCATCCATCCATCCATCCATCCATCCATCCATCCATCCATCCATCCATCCCATCCCATCCCATCCCATCCCAGCCCATCCCAGCTCATCCTGGGGAAATCCCAGGCCAGACTGGATAAATTGTTTATCCAGCAAGTCCCTGGTCTTCCTCATGTCTCTTCCTCCATCACATGAACACCAGTCCCTCCAAAAATAAAATACGTCAGAATGAAACAAAAGCAGTAACTGAGAAAACTTTAAGAGCGGATCCAGCTGATAATTTGGTTTAGGAAACCACAAGTGAAAAATGTTTTACATGAAGTTTTACATTTCTTTTTTCTTTAACATATCTTTAGTTCATTAAATACTTTTGCTGCTTTCTGTGTTGAATCTACATTTTCTCCATGCGCCTTGGCAAGGACTCTTCTCATACCCATTGGTTCCTCCTTTTGCCACAAAAAGCTTACACCCATCAAGTCATATTATCCAGTCTAGATGTCAAGTTAATGTAGAGGTTCCCAAACTGTGGGACGCCCCCCCAAAACATGAACACTGTATGCGCTGGGTTTTTACCTTAGAATGGCCAACTCTGATATTCCTATGTCAATTTGATACAGTAGAGGCTTCCACACTTCCCATATTTGTGTCCTCTGTCACTTTTATCAGCAGTTAAAACTGTTAACATGTTGTAACCTGTTTTTCCGAGCCGCCTTTAAACGCAACATGAACGCTACGACGCTCACGCTGGGTTTCCACCTGTGAAGGAGACCTGCTGCTGCTGTGCGGAGCTACGTAGGTTTGTGTTAGAATCACGGCAGCAAACCAGCAAAACGCAAAGAACTTTTCACAGTTTTTCCCTCCAAACTAACCGACTGAGTTGAGTAAAGCTGTTGGATGCAGGTAATGTTAGCTAAAAGATGACTAGCTAATATCAATACAGAACCTTAAGCTTAACAAGGCTACCGATGTTGGTGTCTATTTTCAGCTACGTACATTCATTTTGCCCCCAAAGAAGTCGATGTCCCCCCCGTTAATCCATAGGGGGTGGGGGGCGCAGAAAATGTTTGGAAACCACTGGGGGGGGGGGGGGGGGGGCAAAAAAAAAGATTGGGAAACCAGGGGTTC